AACACCTGGCTTATAAAAATGTTTTGATCAATAAATAGCGATACTATTGCCTAAAAATAAAAATTCTGCATTGTGAGAAAAGTAAACCAAGATTTGAAAAGCAGGTAGAAACTGGTATAGAAAGTAAGTTCAGGTAATGTTTTCATTTTGCTTCTTAAAGTTTATGTATGTATGTATGTATGAATATAGGTATGTATATATTTAGAACCAGTACTGGGGCTTGAACTCAGGGCCTCATGCTATTGCTTAGCTTTTTCACTTGGGCACATCTCCACTTTTGCCTTTCTGCTAATCAATTGGAGATTATAGAGTCTCTCAGATTTGTCATTCTGGGCTAGATTCAAACTTTGATCCTCAGATCTCAGCTCCTTGAGTAAGCCACTGGCACCTGACTTTTGGCTCTTATTAAATGAGTATTCCAGTATTATTTAATTGTATCATCCCTTTCCCAAATTCCTGTGTTGGAGCCTCAATTCCTCCTCTTCATCTCCCCCTCCCCAAGATGATAGTAATTGGAGGAAGAAATTAAGGGGAATTGAGGTCATAAAGATGGGATCTTACTGGATAGGATTAGTGTCTTTATAAGAAGAGACACCAGGGATTGCTCTCATCCCCCAATGATGTGAGGACAGAGCAAGAAGGTAGCTGTCTACAAGGCAAAGAAACCTCACCAGAAAAATAAAGTGTATCTGCATTTCACTCTCTAGAGCTTTGAGAAATAAATCTTTGGTGCCTCAGTCACCCAGTCTATGTAACGTGTTATATATGGCAGTCCAAACTAGCTAATAAAAGTTATAAAAATAAAGAAGCACGTTTAAAAAAATTTCTTTATCAGGTTTTCGAAGCAGGTTTTTCTCATTTCTCCATCAGATTAAAATATACAAAGCTTAAAAACAAAATGTTGGAATTACAAAATGTTGGCGTTGTCATGTGGTAAAGACTAATGGTGATGTGAGGATCTGGAGTCAAACCAAGCAGTTTCAAGCCCATTTCTGCCACTTACTGGTTATGTAACATAATCAAGGCATTCCACTTCTGTAAGAAGAAGGGTAAGAACGAGAAGGGTAGCTATCCCACAGGACTAAACACTACTACATAGTGAAGTTCTCAGAATATGCTCACTGCCCTGAAAATGCTTATTTTCCAAGCATGAGGCTACCATGTAGACTGAGTCATCATTCGATTGCCATGTGTGAGGGACGTCTCATAGTATAGTATGCGGAAGGCAGGGGTTATTTGTGCAATGTTCTACATTTGATTTCTGGGGTCTGGATGCCTGGAGAAGTGATCAGTATGCAAACCTAGAAAAGCAGAAGACAGATTTTTTTTTTTGGTCTCCATCACACTTTTCCTCTGGGTTATCCATCATCCCAGTGAGAATCCATTTTGTGAATAATTTAACTCAGATCACGTTCATAGTACAACGAGCTCGGATGAGCAAAAATACTTCCACAAATGCAGGACTCTGAGGCTCCAGGACTCTTGACTTTGTGTTATGGGCCACTGCAGAGGCAGGAAGACGAGAAGGTAAAAGAGGAGGTAGGGCTGGACCAGGCATGCTCATGCGATAGAGCTTCTGCAGAGTAAGTGCAAGAGGCCCAGAGTTCAAACACAAGTATCACTAAAATAAGACAACATAGAAAAGAGAGAGAGAGAAGATTGTCTGCAAGAGCAAGAACTTCTCTGTGCCTGGCTGAAGAAGAGAGAAAACTTGGAAGACAAAGATTCTCCAAGTTCATTGTGGGTTTTCCGGAGAAAGTGGAAACAAAAGACATAAGCAGAGAGAATTCGGAATGGCTTTTCTTGACCGAGAACTTGGAAACAGCTTTGGTTCAGCTTGTATCTCACCTAGTATTCGACCACTAACTACTGCCACTCTCTTTCCATTATGCTAGGGGCCTTTCCATTGCCCCATTCAAACATGTCAACAGAACAACAAACATCCCAGTACTCCTGAGTCTCTACTTCCAGCTCTGGAATTCTTAATTGATTAATTCCTTCTGACATGGCCCAGACTGTCTCCAGAGTAATTAGTAACAGAACAGGGTTAATGGAGCTGCCTCATGGTGATGCACATTCATTATGATGAGTTGCTCACTTATAAAAATTAAGCAAGTCTAAGTGTATTTAGAGCCAAAAGGATTGCACTAGACTGACACTAGATAACTACTGGCCTTGTCTTTAACATATTTAAGAGGCGATCAGGTACATGGCAAGGGTATAATGTGTTTCTATACACATCTGATCAAAGCTGCAGGAGGTAAGGCTCATGAATAATACAGTCTCTTTCCTGGGAAAGGACCAGAGACACCAGAGAGACTGGGCTAATTTAGATGTTTTCAGTTTTTCTTGTATTGTGAGTTTCATGGAACTCGAACTTTTCAAGCTCTAGGGCTCATGGCTGAAGCTCCGTGTGCCCTACCCACCCCCCCCCCCCCCATTACTTAGAGTGTGATCAAGTAAAGAAATTCTGTACCTGTGTATCTATGGTCTTCTCTCTCTTCTCCTACTGTCCACAGACATCTGCCAGCTCATACTGCCATGTCTGCAGTAGCTCCTCTGGCCCAGAACATTCCATTTAATTCCACTCATGATTTTGGGGACAGAGGTGAGACCTGGTCTCAGTGGCCACTGTGGTAGGCCTCAACTGTGACTTTGACATTTCTGCTCACTCTATTCTCTATACAGTGACCCAGGGACATATTTTAAAGGTTAGTTTCCACATCACTCCATGCTCAATAATAAACTCTAAACCTCTGTAAACTCTCACCTAGTGAACCCTGTCTCTCAGTACACATCCCAATGAAGCCTCCAGCCAAGCCGAACCAACTCTTCCATGACCCTAAACAGTGCCCATTTTGACCCTTTGTACAGGGTCTTCTTTTCTGGAATCCTCTGCATAAATGTCCTTCGTGTTCAAGTTTTAGTCTTCTACAAGGGCACCTTTATGAGGCTGAACTGAACCACAAATAACACTTGGAATGATAGTCATTCTAGCTTTCACCTCTGTCTTCCTATCTCCCTCCTTCTCTCCCTTCCTCTCTCTCTCCCTCCTTCTCTCCTCCTCTGGAGGAGCCTGGAATCAGTACCTCAAGGATGAATCAGAAACCACAGTGCAGTATTTGCACAGAACCTATACACATCATTCCATGTACTTCAAATCATTTCTACATAATTTACAATGTACGGAATACCCAATCCAATTTGCAAACACTGTAAAACAGTTGTCATATTATGTTGTTTAAAGACTAATGACAAGAAAAAAGTCTGTATACATTTCAGTACAGATGGACTTTTTTTTCCTCCAAATATTTTGAATGTGTGGTTGGCTGAATCCCAGTTGTGGAAGCCATGGGAATCAAGATCTGACTGTGTATGTATTCATTATCCTGCTACAGTGATGTATTCTGCCTTCATACCCAGCGCAGCATCCTGTCCATGGTAGTTATGTTGAATAAGTATGTGCTACATGCGTACATGAGAATTATTTTGTACCATATTTAATCTCGCAAGGTAAATTTGATGTCAAAGGCTTAAGCTTTGATTTAGCAATTTGGATTCTAGAAACTGGAAAAAGAGACACATAAAGATTTATGGAAGCTGTTGTTCAATGTTGTATGTATATTTTTATAATAGAGAAGCTAGAAAAGATCTAAAGAATTAAACAAGTAAGTCTTGATTCTCAACAAGCAGCCAAAAAAATTGTGCTGGGGACTATGTATTAACATAAAAATTAGTTCATGATTTATCAATGCATAGTAATACAGTATATGAAGAGATATTCAATTTTTATTTGGTGGATAAACAGAAGGATGGTGGGTGTGTCTTAGGGGATTGTGAAACTATTTCATCTTTGCAATTTCTTCTGAATTTAAATTTAGGGCACTGAACTGAAGTGTTATTGATGCATTGGGTGGTTCCTTTGGGTAGACATTGGTTCTTTCATCCAGTTGGGATGGATATGAACAACAGAGAATTGGCTCAAGCCTATGTTGGAACTGAGTGTAATAAACACAAGTACTGTGTGAGGTGTGTGAGGTCATCCTGCTCCCAAGGAGACAACAGCCACAAGGCTAGCAGTTGGAAAGCAGGGTCCAATCCTGCCTCCACCAAATTCCTGAAGAATCTACTTCTTTTGTCTGAACCTCAGTTTTTCTACAAGTTGAGTATTTCCTCCTAGCTCCATCCTCATTACATAATACAAGGTACAAAGCAGATCAAGTCTATATCATTTGTAAAAATACCAATCATATTGTAAAAGTGCAGTCAGTTATCATCAAGGTTCTTTCAGAAACCTTTTTATCTCTGATCACGCCATGATTTTAGGTCACAAAGTGGTATCGGATGCAAATGAGCACTGAAATACAATCTCATTGGAGGCCCAACGGACACAAACAATGGTGTGTACCTTGTGAACACTACAAACAAAAATATCAAAGTCATTTTAGGACAGCATGGCTAAGCTGATTCTTCTCTCCCTAATTTTTTTCCCTACAAACTTGTACATCACTGCCTTTGCTTTGCCTTTCCTTTTTTAAAGAGGGCTGACAATAACAAAATGAATTTTAATAGGAGGAATATACTAAGCTTCAGATGAATAACTTCAGGACACAACATACAAAGCCTCAACAAACTCATTATGCAAGAAACAGGGCACTGGTTTTAATTTTTGCAAACATGTTGATGTTGAATTTAGGTTTGCCCAAGCTACTCTTAAACTCGCCACATAAATACAAGGTACATATTTACAGATACACAGGACAGAAGGCTCTTGGCACATGGCTGGCAGGTGTATATCGAATGCTTCTTGACACAAAGAAAAACACAAACCCTGGTCATGACTGCATGTACTAAGACGCACACAGAAACACCCGAATGCCCCACAGGGCAACTGACCAGAGATATATTTTCAGGACTTAGATAACAAGCCCGAAAGAGGAAACAATTCTCCCTTGAAGGGCAGGAGGGACAGGTGCCATGGGAGGCCATGGCAGACTCACCTGTGAAATGGTTGGCAATCCGGGCAGTGGGTTTGGGAGGCAGGGCCGGGGGCTGCTTGAGAAGGGGCAGCTGCTTCACTGGGGTGTCCTCATGGTCTCCAGGGAAAGCAGCAGGTTTTTTGGGGGGCAGTAGCAGGACTGGTTTGGCTGAAGGATCTTGGGACAGGAGGACTCCAGACTCACTGGCAGAGGGACTCTCTTCAGACACTGAGGGGACAACCACATGATACACAGGAGACATTACATGAACGCAGCGCAGGTGGGGATGGCATGGGCCAGCCGGCAACACAGGACAGGGACGCGAGCTGGCTTAGCAAGACGGCAGAGTGACTGATTGCCTCAGGTTATCAAGTATGTGTGGAGAAAGGGGAGGACACCGGAAATCCATGAAAGCAGCAGGGGTGGTGGAGGGACATAGATGGGAGGCAAAGGAAAAAAAAAAAAAAAAGAGGAGAGAGGTGAAAGACTCCATTCCAAACTTGGCATTCATCATACAAGGTGTACTACAGATGCTGGGACTCAAGGGTCCAAAACCACAATGAACAGGATGGCAAGAATGAAGTGTGTCTGAACTGCACCAGAGGAACCAAATGTTGGCTCCAGGAAGGAAGAGAGACTGGGTCAAACTAAAGAGTCTCAATGTTGCCTGCTAAGTTTTCCCTCTGTCTTGGCTCTCATTTGGTACACTGGTTGGTCCTGTTAACAGTCTGGAAAGCTGACACAAACAGGCTGTGACCCAGCACTGAACAGCAACCTTCCAGATGAACTGCAGTGTGAAGGTCCAGCCATCTCCTATAAACTCCATCAGGGTTAAAGGATGCTTGAGGCCTTGATAGCTCTCATTTCCCTTCCCCCCTTGCATGGCCAGATTTTACTATGTTTCAATTATAACAGCTTCCATTCTAGCCATATTTTCTGTTGTTTCGATTCCCCTATTTCTCTTTGCTCTGCATTGAATCTGCCTCTTCCAGACCACAGAGATCCATGGACAGGCACCAGAGGCCTGCAAACTGTCAAGGGATGGGTTGGTGGCACACACACCTTCCTATCAAGCTGGCAGTCTGTGTGGTGATGTGAAACCCTGTGACAGTGCTAGCATGACAGATTCACTAACACATTCAAACCCACCTGATGCAATGTCACAAGGAAGGCTGAATTAAAAAAAAAATTCACTGCTCTTGTTAGAAAACTCTGGGAGGAAAACTGTAATTCAGCTGTACATCTTTCTCTCTGCCTTCCATCACTGCCGCAATTAGAAAACTTATAAATGACTCCTTCTTTTCTTCTTGGCCAGGGGATCAGCATTCTGCAAGCAACAGAGCCTCGCAGAGTACCCATAAGCCTCAAGGTCTCCCCATCTCAAAGGATATTCCTATTAGCAGTGATGAACACCTTGATGGAGCAATAACTCTCCAGGCCACTGTGGAGAATGGGAATCAACGGGGGTACACCGCCATTTCTCCTCTCCTCCTACCTGAGCTCCTGTGGGCATGGAATTTGCACACAGCATGCAGAAAGGACATGGGTTTTCTACCAGTACACCAGATATTCAAAAGCTTCCTTCCCACAGAGCTATCTGCTAACAGTGTGTACCAGTCCTGTCTGTCGGGGGAAAGGAGCAGTTAGTGACTGATAGTTGGGCTGACTGGGGGAACTCTGCACACCTCTCGAAAGCTGAGTGTTGGGCACAAAGGCAACTCTGGATTAAAGAGGGAGGCGATGTTCAGTCAGATGGTATAAGAATATATCTCTTGTATATATCTATCAGTAGGCTCCTGATTAAGCAGTAAATTGTACAGGATTGAATGAGCAATTAAATTAATTGACTGCATCCGCTAAATTGATACAATTTACTGAATTGATAGAACCATTGTCTGGTACACTGGGACTAGAAATTAAAGAGTGTTTAGGCCCTTTCCCGCCTCCTCCCCCCACCCTGCACCAATACTGGGGCTTAGCTCAGGACCTGGGTGTTATCCTCTAGCTTTTTTGCTCAAGGCTGGTGCTCTACTACTTGAGCCACAGCTCCAATTCTGGCTTTGTTTTGTGTGGTTGATTGGTGATAGAATCTCATGCCTCTTCCCTGGATTGAACAGCAATTTCCAGACCTCAACCTCCTGAGTAGCTAGGATTAAAGGTGTGAGCCTGGTTGTTCAGGCCTTCTGAATAGGCAAATTTGATAGGTATCATGTAGAAATGTAGCATGCTTCACCTTTATCTTAATAGAGATGAGTGTTAGAAAACAAAACAATGACATTTAAAAATCATCCATTTTCCCCAAACAAGCCATAAAACAAGTGAGAAAAATGGGTTTTAAAATGAGAACAACACAGGTAAATATCCCTATTTCCTTAAACTCTGTATATATGAAAAACTAATACTTGGGTCAGTTTCATCCCAGTTTCCAGATCTTTCTTTATATGTAAAAGCTAGAACCCCAAATCCAGTGGGAGTAGAGGTTCCCAGTGTGACACTCTGGGGTCTGCCAGAGGCATTACCTGGCCCATCCATAATGTCTGAAGCTTGGAGCACCTCGTATGAACAGGGATCCCTGGGCATGGGGACCGGCTCCATTTCTGACAGTGCAGGCAGAGACAGCTGGCTGGAGCTCAAGGACTGCCCATTTTCCAGGGAATCATCTTCATTGGATATGGAGAGCTCCCCATCTGTCAGAAAGAAGGGAATTGCAGAGTTAGAGAACGCTTGCCTTCCAAGGATGGAAGCCTGCTGATGCAAGTCTACATGCTTCAGACTTCTCTATTTTTAATCAAGGTCAGAACATATAAGGGGCATCTCTCCTTTTGGTTTTTTTTTTTTAAGACATGTTTAGAGATTAGTTGTCTAACTATCACTGCAATATTTTCTAATGATCGTTACAACCTTGCCTGTTTTTGTCTCCAACTTTCTCAACATAATCCATCCTGTGTTTTAGGTATCTACTTTTTAAAAATGAAAGGCGATGAAATAAAATCTTAACTTTTTCTTTTCTTTGGGTGCTGCACCTTAGTTTTGTTTTTGTTTTTTCCTCAACGTTAGTGCTCTACTACTTGAGCCTCAGCTCTAGTTGTGGCTTTTTTTTCTGGTTAACTAGAGACACAGACTTTTCTGCCCAGGCTAATTTTGAACTTCAGTCTTCAGATCTTAGTCTCCTAAGTAGCTAGGATTATAGGCATGAGCCACTAGTATTCAGCTTCTTTCTCTCTCTCTCTCTCTCTCTCTCTCTCATTGGTCATGGGGCTTGAACTCTGGGCCTGAGCGCTGTCCCTCAGCTCTTCAGCTCAAGGCTAGTGCTCTACCACTTGAGCTACAGCATCACCACTTTCTCAGCTTTTCTCTTAATGTTTAAAAAGCCAAATAGCCAGCAGGTAGCAGAGACTGAAATCAAGAGGGAGAATGTCAACCTTAGGTTGCAAAGGGCTTCATGTTGCTTAACAAGAAGTGAAACCACCGTACAGCAGGGTCCCAGGCAAAACATCATTCCACCTCCTGTTTACCTCCACTCTCATCCAATCTCTCTAGTAGGATACACATTTAAGAAGCTCTAATCTCTACCCAATAGGTGCAGCAGCCTATGGCTTTTGGGAAGTGCCAAGATTCTCCTGGTACTGACCATTAATCATGCCCACTTTGATCTGGCTTACAGCTCAGCTGCACAAGGGCTGTGAACAGACACCACAGCAGAGGATCAAAGGCTTCGGTATAATGGCCATTTGTCAGATCAAAATTCCCTCAGTGTGATTTCATCTTAGCTCTGGGGAGTCTTAGATAACTAGATATTAAAGTCAAATTAATTTTTAAAGAGGACTAAAAGCTGTTCAAGTCCAGTGAATAAATATACAGATGAAAGACAGAGTTATGTCTACTCCCAAACAAAGAACCCAGCAGAGCAATTATCTAACTTAGCTCCAGAAGAAAGATGACTGATAAAAATGAAACAGTGTGGTAGCAATGAGGTTAGTGCCTTGCTTTTCCAGGGTTCCATTCAAAGTTTGATTTTATACAATAATGCTTTGGGTGGCGTATAACTCTAGCATACCCCATTAGAACTGGTCCAATAAAATATATGTTCACCAGAGTAATCTATCAATAGGCTTGAAATAGTATATGATTCAAGGACATAGAATATTGGACCTGAATTTTCTGTAAACATAAAAAACATAAGAAGTATCCTCTCTGTTGCCTCAAGTCATCTATATCAGACAAGAGAAAGCAATGGCCAATTTGAATACTGGGTTGGATTTTTTCTTTTCATTCAACCTTTGTGCATGCCCCAGATTATCATAAAAGTTATTGTAATCGAGGTCATCAACATGCTTACTACTCATTCATAAGAGGACAAATGCAGTGGCAAGGCTGTGGATGTACCAAGGGTAGGATGGAAAGGGATTTGATGTGTTAAGGTATCATTTTTGATGGCCTCCAGTTCTCTTAATGTGATTTTTATTTATCATGGTCAAACTGATGTCGTAGGAAGTAGCTGGGCTCAGAGTTCCCAGTGGGTGGGACAATGACACAGCAGCCATTCAGCAGACTACATCTGTAGAAGAACCACTTTGGCTCTTGATGTTCCAAGTCTATTCACGCTCCTGGATAAGACACCCTGAGGCCAGGGGTGGGGGATCACAGGGCTAATGCCAAGTCCTACTTCTCTGGGGGGTTAGGGGGGACAAAGATGTACTTCAATGATCACCACCATGTTAACAGTTGAAAGTGCCAGGCAAAAGTGCCATTGGTAACAAAGATGCACTGCAGGTGGATTTCTTTGACTCCATCTATGACTCAGTTTTTGTCAATGCATCTGATTTACAGTGAAAAATTTTGCTAGGAACCAACAAGAGATACTGCTTACTTCTCTTGCGCTCAAAAAATTAAGTTCCCTGTAGAATTAAAGAGACCTTTGCTTGGTCTCACAGGCCCATGCCACTTGGGAGAGGGATTTACTGTGGGACTTCCATTTTTCTAACTGCTGGAGATTCCCATTGGAAAAATAAAAATGAGGTAGAGAAGGAAAATGGTGATCAAATAGCCACCTTAGCTAATAAAAACAAGTTTTTTTCTCTGTAAATTATTTTCATGGTTGTAATCTTACTATGTGTCAAATATGTACTGATTTTTCTTACTATTTTAAGCATAACTTGCCTAACCATCATCTTGATGATAGTAGATGAATATAGAAATACTTACTGTGCTATTTCCCTATGATTGGTCACAAAGGACTTCCATATATATATGTATGTATATATATTATTTTTATTTTTTGGTCGGTTGTGGGGCTTGAACTCTAGGCCTGGGCGCTGTCCCTCAGCCCTTCAGCTCAAGGCAAGTGCTCTACCACTTGAGCCATAGCACCACTTCCGGTTTTTTGTGTAGTTTATTGGAGATAAGAGTCTCATAGCCTTTCCTGCCCGGGCTGGTTTTGAACTGTGATCCTCAGATCTCAGCCTGTTGAGTAGCAAGGATTAGAGGAGTGAGCCACCAATGCCCAGCTAGGACTTCCCAATATTTTATACTATCATGAAAAAAGTATCAGGAGACCATCTTCTTGTATAGAGAATTTTCTACAACTAGAATTCTCTCCACTTTATTTATCCTAAAACAAATTCCAACAAGTCAAATCTTAGTATTAATATTCTAAAATCTAGTGATATAAAAATGGATCTCATAAGATGGTTTTTCTAAAGGGTTTTTGGTTTACACAGCCTTTCTTCCCCCCATGCACCCATCACTCCATCTGTGTACATACATATACATGCATGCACACATACACACTCAGTAAAAATAAAAGCCATTCAATAAGTAGAACATATCCATCATTAATCTCATTTATAGTCAATATGGTGGTGACAAAAAGAAGAGCCATTTGATTTGGGCACAACAATGTTGCCACTTTTAAGTAAGATTAAAAATTTTTATTATGATATTTTAAAACATACAGACACACTAATGAAACAGTGTAACTGTTTCCACATATCTAACGTCATACTACAAAATTAGCTGGGAATTCCTAATGCTTGGTGATTCCAAACTTTATTAATTGAAAGACTATTAGGAGTCCCATGCACATCCTTTTCCTATTAGTGTTTTATCAGTATCTTTGAAAGCATTTCAAAGTTTGCCTTTTTTGAGAAATGAATTCTGGCACACTTGTCCCCGGGAAGACTCTGTACCAAAATTAAGATGAGGCTTACAAGTTATGAGTCCCTTCAACTATGAGGTCATCACCATCTTATTTTATTATGGATGAGAGAATTCACTGAGTGATGGAAATTGCTTTGATGTTTCATAGCACTTAAAAATTGTCTGTTAATAAGATGTACAAGACACTATGTTGAAAACAAACTTTACAGCTTCACAACTTCTGGTGGGAGGGAGGGAGGAGTTGGGGAGGTGAGGAGGGAAGGGATAGTAGGGGAAAAACAAAGGAGGGGGTAACAATGCTCGATAGGAAATGAACTCATTACCTTACTCATGGAACTGTAACCCCTATGTACAGTATCTTTACAATAAAAATATTAAAAAATAAAAAGTAATAAAAAATAAAAATTGTTATTATTTGTTTTCTTGATAATAACAGGTGCTGGTGGGGATATGGCTTAAAGGGAATACTACTACACTGTTGGTGGGGATGTAAAATTGTTCAACCACTCTGGAAAGCAATATGGAGGTTCCTCAAAAAACTAAACATACAGCTTCCCTATGACCCAGCAATCTCACTCCTAGGCATTTACCCAAATGACTACAAACCAGCCTGCACTAATGCCACCAGCACATCCATGTTCATTGAAACATTATTGACCATAGCTAACATATGGAATCAACCTAGATGCCCCTCAGTGGATGAATGGAGCAAGAAGATGTGGTATATATGCATAGTGGAATTCTATGCTTCCATCAGAAAGAATGATATTGCCCCATTCATAAGGAAATGGGAAGACAGAAAAAGTTATATTAAGCAAAGTAAGCCAGGCCCAAAGAAACATCAGCCGCATGCTTTCCCTCATTTGCAATAACTAGAATATATCTATAACTCTACAAGTGAATCCACTGGATAGTAAAAGACAAATAATTACACTTGGACATGATTAATTAAACAGCACTCTAAGCATTGCACAGTGAGAACAAAGGAGGATATTTTTAGGAGAGAACCAAAATGGCTCAATAGCTATGTGTATATGACCATATAAAATGGTGCTTTATTGAAATGAACTCCAAGTTATTTATTTATTTTTCTTTCTTGTCCCCCCTCCCTTTGGTCTATTCCCTGTTGGCACTGTTTTTGATTTGTCTTGTATATAAGTTTATCTGATTTGGGGAAGGGAAAGGGAATGAAAGAAACAGTGGGACAAAGTATGAACCAATTCAACAGTGATACTTACTAGACCCCATGTTGGAAATAAACTATACTACTTTGGGGAAAAGAGGAGTTGGGAGAAAGAGTAGGGGAAAATGAAGGAGGGGGCAACACTGTTCAAAAGAAATATACTCATTACCTGCCATGTAACTGTAACCCCTCTGCACATCACCTTTACAATTAAATTTAAATTAAAAAAAGAAATCAGGACACTAAAAACAATTGTGTGAATGGCTCACAATGATCTTCAATCATTGGTTTCCCACTCAAACTAGTAAAAGTATGAACAGGAGGAAAGCAGAATGCAGGTGAGGA